ATAACCAAAAATGATCATTTTTAAACATTTTCTTACATTTTTATTTTATTTATATTATTATTTATGGTTTTTTTTTTTTAACATACTGTCACCCTAGCAGTACAGTGTCACCATGGTGACACTGTCCTACTTGTGGGGGGGTGATGAAGATTTTTTTTTTTTTTTTTTTTTTTTTTTACAGTGATTGCTTTTACATCCATATAGAATGTAAAAGCAATCATTTTCTCTTTCTCTCTGTCTGCATTCTTGCAGTCATTGAGAAATACTGAATGAGCTGTGATTGGTCACACCTTGTCACATGGTACAAGGCTGTTGTGAATAGCCCTGTACCATGTGATCTCTGTGATCATTCACAGATTTCACACGTAGTAAGCAATTATGTCACAAGTGACATCTTGCTTACTACTTTGAATGTGATCACTGATTGGCCAATCAGTGACCACATGATCGGGACCTCGTACAGACGACCCCGTTCGACGATCAGTGTTTCACTGTGTCCGGAGGACACAGCGGGCATCGGATCGCGGTGCTGCGCGCTCCCAGGGAGTGCGCACAGCTAGAAAAGGCGGGTGCCGTTTATGAACGGCAACCCGCCCCCTGGAATGCCGCCACCCTGCCGTTTATAAACATCAGGCGGATGGCAAGTGGTTAATATAAACGTTACATGTTAATTATTAGTTATATATTTCTCAGAATTACTCCACCCTGAGAAAATGACTGAATAATCAGAATCTTTTGAATAACTTGAATAAATATGACAAAGGATCTTTCAGTCCTTTGTCAGAATTATTATCAGCTGTTCCACTGGTAATCAAAAAGGGTGGGAACGTATTATTGGATGCAGCAGATTATTAGAAATAACTGAACAGGTTGTCAGGTGGCAGAGCAGTCTCTCAACAAGGGCCCCACCCTAGGCTGATGGGGGTTCTTTGAGCTGTATAACAAGGCATTCCCTCCAAGGACCAGCACTGTAAGGGTTCCTCTCTTCCATTGATTAGCATTGTAAAGGGAAACTTGCCCTTTGTTTTCCAGTATAATACCATATCATTTAATGTAATGATTGCATGAACTGATAAATAAAAACAAAACACACGGCTCCAGGTTGGTTCCGTCTTCCTGTCTTGGAAATTCGCTTTAACGAATTTCTCCTTACCGTGAGTACTCGCAGTTGGATGCGCAGAAATCCCCCATAAAGCTGTGCGAATCCCGCTTACCACGACTGCAGCTAAACTACACGATTCCTGCCCATCCAAATACTTTGGTTCTGTTGAATTGTGGGTGATTGGAGCTCCGTTACCCTAGAATGATCACACGACACTCTAAGGCTGGTTGCAATCCACATAAGGGCTGATTTTAGACCCAGCTCTCTGTTTTATTAAAAATACACACATGCCCCCCACATGAATAAAGTCAATCCCTCCCACCGAACAATGCAATGGGGATTGCCTATACAGAGGATGTACATTCCAATTGGAGCATAGCCTTTGCTATTATCTATCACTGGTCCTCCCCCATGAGTCTTCTGAGGTCAGAAGACTTCCTCCCCTTCCCCCCTATGAGCCATCTGAGGTCATATTTCCTGTCCTACTAGCTTCTATTGGTATGCAAAATTCTCTGCACAAGCATCTCCCTAAAAATATCAGTCTGTACCTGGATGGGCCCGATACGATCTTTATTAAAACACATCCATCCTGATACAGTTCAGATTAGTAATGGGTTGTAAGATATGCATAAGCCTACACGTGGAGTTCACACCGCTTGCGCATTGCGTTATGAAGCCCACGTGGTACCATGCTGCTGATATGTGGATACAGGCCCACGGTCTACTGACAGCAGCATTCGCATGGAATGCCGTGGTGGTATACACGCCGGTCTATAAGCGCAGATCTGCCATCTCATCCATTACCAAGCTGAGTACTGTAATACATACATTGTACATGCGCATGGCCCAATTGCAGCCTTCAGAGCTTTAATTAAGCCACACGAGAGACATATGAATAACACGAATATATGACACATTTAAAGTTCGACCAATAATACAAAATTTCCATGACATTCACACACACACACTAAATCCCAGGCGCTGGCTCTGTCCCCAATATACAAAGATCTGATGGCCGCACATCCAGTAAATCACCTTTATTTCTTCTTATAGCATATTCCACAAATATGACAGGAATACGGGATTCCACTAACACGTTTCACGCTCCACTAGCGCTTAGTCATAGCTCCTGCATCCCTGTCATATTTGTGGCATAAAGTGATTATTTTTGTATGTGCTGCATTTTTTGGATAATTGTCTTCCTTTATAAAAATGTTTACACACCCACTACACTTAGTCTGCGCTCTTTGCTCTGTCTGTCTCTTTTCAGACAACGAGGCACACAAATTCCCCCATAGTAAGCGGCTTGCTATGGGCGCACTCAGCAGAAGGGAAGGGCCAGGAGCACTGGTGGGGAACTCGAGAAGAGGAGGATCAGGGTTGCTCTGTGCAAGACCATTACACAGAGCAGGTGTGAGTAGAACATCTTTGGTATTTAACCCCTTGATGCCGCGGCTGGGTCTTGATGCTGAGCGGCCATATATTTGTGTACTTTTTGAAAACACATATGTGAACAGAGCGTGTGTCCTGTGCGCTCCAAGCATATATGTTGGTGTCTCATGAAAAGGTCCCGATCTCCCCTTGCAATCGGGACCTTTTCCGATCATGTGACTGCTGTGACAACGAATCACCACGGTCACATGACCCTAAAACCCCGCCCCACCTCCTGGCATCTGAAACCCCTTAAAGGGCTGGGAGACGCCAACGTGAAGAGGTTAAAAAAATATGTTTAGAATTCCTTTATTATTTATTCCAGGTACTTCTATAGCGCCATCAATTTACGCAGCACTTTACATATACATTGTACATTCACATCAGTCCCTGACCCTCAAGGGGCGTACAATCTAAGGTCCCTAACTCACATTCATACACATACTAGGGACAATTCAGACAGGACACAATTCACCTACCAGCATATCTTTGGAGTTGGGAGGAAACCGAAGTACCCACGCAGGCACAGGGAGAACATGCAAACTCCAGGCAGGTGGTGCCATGGTTGGGATTTGAACCAACGACCCGAGTACTGCCAGGCGGAAGTGCTAGCCATTTAGCCACTGTGCTGGTTTAAAGGTTAGATAATATCTCTACGGGACAATAAGAGGAAATTGAAACCAGAAAACGATTAGTGAGGAAGGAAATCAAAGTCGGTGAATATTTAATTTGAATGCACTAGTGCCTTGTAATGATATTTGAATTTTTGTTGCTTTTCACTAAGATTACAAAAAAACGTTTTTGTCCTGTAGTGCAAAGGCACTACTAGAATGAAAAAAAACATGTTAGAATTGAACAGTATATAAAAAGAGGGAGATGATGACTAGCTTTTTTATTTTTTTTTTTTTTTTTTATTATTGTATATGACATTGGGGACCAGATTGTAAATGCTTTAAGTGAGATTTATTTACAGTGAAACAAAAACCATTCAAACATCAGCACACAGCAAACAAAACATACAAGTGAACCAAAAAACCCAGTGACAGAATACCTGACTAATACACCTAACAAACTGGAGATGCATTGAGTAGATGGGAAGGGGAACAAAACTGGGAAAAGGAACGAGGGAGAGCAGAAGCAAGGCAGCAAGGTAATGGGTATAAGGTACAGAGCAGGAGCAAGATCAGGATATCTGGAAACAAGATTTGGCAGTGGCTAGGCAAAACACTGGAGCCAAAAGACACTAAAAAGGAGAACCTAAATACCCCCCCAGCAGCCAGCATCATGTGAAAACTGCTGCTGGGAAACACCCACTGGTGGGCACTGGAATTACAACCCTCCACCCTTGGAACCTCTGTGCCACTTGCAGGTGATCCAGGTCCTGACAGACATTTTCTGTAGGGTTAAGAAATGAGAACCATCCATTTAGGATATTAACAGCGATCGACAGTGAGAACTTCTGTGCGCCTTGAGAACAATAGCAGCCTCAACCTTGAAAAGCATTGTGCACATTTAGAATATATTCCAAGGTGAGGGTAAACCAAGTACCCTGCGATCTAATATAATTATATAATACACTAAATTACACTATATTATATTTTTGATGTAAGTAAGCACCTTTCCAGTGGCTCACGAGTATTAATTAATTAAAAAAAAAAAAAAATTGTGCACATTTAGGTTGCACAGTGACCTCACTCTACACATGGAAGTTCCATCATGCCTCCGCAATCCTCACCAACCAGGACTGTATGTTGATTCTGACATTGAGTACAATTATGAGGGAAATAAGACCAGTAAGCTTTTGCACCATAAACCACCTATTGATACCAATGGGAATCGTTTCAAAGACTTTCTTAACCCCTCGCCTACCAGGCACTTATACCCCCTTATTTACCAGGCCAATTGTCAGCTTTCAGCGCTGCCGCACTTTGATTGACAATTGTGCGGTCATGCAACATTGTACCCATATGAAATTTTGATCATTTTTTTCTCACAAATAGAGCTTTCTTTTGGTGGTATTTAATCGCCACTGGGCGCTTTACTTTTTGCACTATAAATTAAAAAAGTGCAAAAAATTTGGAAAAAAAAAAAAAAAAGTTTCTTTGTTTCTATTATAAAATTTTTCAAACAGGTATTTTTTCTCCTTCACTGATGTGCGTTGATGAGGCAGCACTGATGGGCACTGATAGGCGGCACTGATGGGCACTGATAGGCAGCACTAAAGGGCACTGATAGGGCAGTACTAATGAGGTGTCACGGATAGGCGGCACTAATATGCAGCACTGATAGGCGGCACTGATAGGTGACACTGATGATGGGTACTGATAGACGGCACTGACTGGCATCACTGCTGGGCACTGACTGGCGGCACTGACTGGCACAACCCCTGGGCACTGACTGGTGGCACTGACTGGCAGCACTGCTGGGCTGCACTGGTGGGTGGCACTGGTGGGCAGCACTGGTGGGTGGGCACAGGTGGGTGGAACTGGTGGGCACAGGTGGGGCACAGGTGGGGTGGGCACAGGTGGGTGGCACTTCTGGGCACAGGTAGGTGGCACTGCAGAGTGGGGCACTGGGGTGGGTGCACTGCTGGGCACAGGTGGGTGATCTGCTGGGCACAGGTGGGCGGAGCTAGTGGGCGCACTGCTGGGCACAGGGGGCGGAGCTAGTGGGCGCACTGCTGGGCGGAACTTGCGGGTGGCACTGCTGGGCACCGATCATCAGGGCACTGATCATCAGTGCCCTGATGATCGGTGCCGATCCCCGCTCTGACAACTGCCGGTTCTCGGCAGTACTTTCCTCACGATCTGACAGCGTGAGGAAAGTGCAGCCGAGAACCGGCACTTGCATTTCCCTCTGATCAGCGTGTCATTGGACACCGCTGATCAGGTGGTAAAAGGCCGCTGTGATTGGCCTTTTACCACATCACGTGATCAGCTGCGTCCGTAGGACACAGCGATCACGGAGATCGCCGGATGCGCGCCCCAGGAGAGCGCGTTCTGGGGGGACGTCATATGACGTCCACCCAGAACTGGCCGGCCGCAGTGAAGTCGTCATTCGGCTATCTGCGGTCGGCAGGTAGTTAAACTTCAGGTTCTATTTAAAGGTTTGAGTATCAGTTTTTATGACAAGAAATAAAGTTTCAGATTTTAACATTTTTTTTATCATATCAGGTGATTAACCATTTGACGCCCGGCCAATAGCCGTATGGCATCCGGAAAAATGTACTAGCTTTCCGGGAGGCCGCCATATGTGGGCGACCTGCCTACACATAGAATGCATGAAGGTCTAAAAACCTTCCTCCTGTACGACCACTTAAACTTCATTCCTTTCATCATTCAATCTTAAACTTCATTCCTTTCATCATTCAATCTTAAACTTCATTCCTTTCATCATTCAATCTTAAACTTCATTCCTTTCACCATTCAATCTTAAACTTCATTCCTTTCACCATTCAATCTTAAACTTCATTCCTTTCACCATTCAATCTTAAACTTCATTCCTTTCATCATTCAATCTTAAACTTCATTCCTTTCATCATTCAATCTTAAACTTCATTCCTTTCACCATTCAATCTTAAACTTCATTCCTTTCACCATTCAATCTTAAACTTCATTCCTTTCACCATTCAATCTTAAACTTCATTCCTTTCACCATTCAATCTTAAACTTCATTCCTTTCATCATTCAATCTTAAACTTCATTCCTTTCATCATTCAATCTTAAACTTCATTCCTTTCATCATTAAGTCTTAAACTTCATTCCTTTCATCATTCAATCTTAAACTTCATTCCTTTCACCATTCAATCTTAAACTTCATTCCTTTCATCATTCAATCTTAAACTTCATTCCTTTCACCATTCAATCTTAAACTTCATTCCTTTCACCATTCAATCTTAAACTTCATTCCTTTCATCATTCAATCTTAAACTTCATATCCTTTCACCATTCAATCTTAAACTTCATTCCTTTCATCATTCAATCTTAAAAACTTCATTCCTTTCACCATTCAATCTTAAACTTCATTCCTTTCACCATTCAATCTTAAACTTCATTCCTTTCATCATTCAATCTTAAACTTCATTCAATCTTTCATCATTCAATCTAAACTTCATTCCTTTCATCATTCAATCTTAAACTTCATTCCTTTCACCATTCAATCTTAAACTTCATTCCTTTCACCATTCAATCTTAAACTTCATTCCTTTCATCATTCAATCTTAAACTTCATTCCTTTCACCATTCAATCTTAAACTTCATTCCTTTCACCATTCAATCTTTAAACTTCATTCCTTTCACCATTCAATCTTAAACTTCATTCCTTTCACCATTCAATCTTAAACTTCATTCCTTTCATCATTCAATCTTAAACTTCATTCCTTTCACCATTCAATCTTAAACTTCATTCCTTTCACCATTCAATCTTAAACTTCATTCCTTTCATCATTCAATCTAAACTTAAACTTCATTCCTTTCATCATTCAATCACCTTAAACTTCATTCCTTTCACCATTCAATCTTAAACTTCATTCCTTTCACCATTCAATCTTAAACTTCATTCCTTTCATCATTCAAATCTTAAAACTTCATTCTTCTATTCATCATTCAATCTTAAACTTTCATCATCCTTAAACTTCACCATTCAATCTTAAACTTCATTCCTTTCACCATTCAATCTTAAACTTCATTCCTTTCATCATTCAATCTTAAACTTCATTCCTTTCACCATTCAATCTTAAACTTCATTCCTTTCATCATTCAATCTTAAACTTCATTCCTTTCACCATTCAATCTTAAACTTCATTCCTTTCACCATTCAATCTTAAACTTCATTCCTTTCACCATTCAATCTTAAACTTCATTCCATTTCATCATTCAATCTTAAACTTCATTCCTTTCATCATTCAATCTTAAAAACTTCATTCCTTTCACATTCCTAAACATATCCTTTCACCATTTCAATCTATATACAATCTTTGTCTTAGTGCCGTGGTTTTGACTTTGTTGCAAATTCTCAAAGTTTACACAAACTACTTAAACACTTCTTTCTGTATCTGAGTTGCTGCTGCAGAAGAGTGCTGGCGGACATTATGACCAATAAAAGGGTTATTAAGTATCCATGCTGACATGCGTTCCATCCACCAAAGACCTGGATTGTTAAACCCTTTGTTCTATGGAGTTATTACAATACAAACAAAAGGTCGTCTTTATTGTTGCGCATTACACGGGTGACAGGAACACGGGAGGGCTGGTCATGAACACATTGCTCATGAAGTGTACAAAGCTGGGAGTGCAGGTTTATTATACAGGTAGATCCTTTGTAGGTCAGTTATTGGGCAGTTTGAAGCAGGTTTACTGATGAAGAGCTATGAGAGAGCATGTTTATACCTGACGATACGGCGCGCTGAGGAAGAGGGAGTCATTGAAATGGAAAACCGCATAAAAGATCAATCTATTCCAACCACTTCAGCCCCGACACCTGTGCACCCCCATGGATGAATGGGCCTACTATTCAGCAATCACTTTGTCATTCAATACTTCAAATTTTTCAGTGGAGACGCGGGATAACGCAGTTCCAGCACCTCCAGTACTGAATGTATGTAATGGCAAGGGGTGTGTGGGGTGTACTGGAGGGTCTATTGATGCTGGCTGTTGGGGGATTTATTGTGACTGGTGGGGACCCATTTTGTGTGAGGGTCTATTGTTGCTGGTGGGGGTCTTATGTTGCTGGTAGGAATCAACTGTTGAGGGAGAGGTTGCTGGCCGATGGAAGATCTGTTGTTGCTGCTGGGGGTCTAATGGTGCTAGGGTATATCTTTTGTTGCTGGCAGTGAAGTTTTGTTGTGGGTGATCCATTGTTGTTGTGTGTAGTAGAGATCTATTGTTGCTGGTGTGGGGTCTTTTGCTGCAGGGGATCCATTGTTGCTGGAGTGGGATCCATTGTTACTGGGGAAAGTCTATTGTTGTGTGTGGGGGGGATCTATTATTGCTGGCTGCAGGGGATCTATTTTACTGCTTTTCTTGTTATCATTAACAAATTCCATACAAATTATTTGGCACCACAAACTAATACTCGGTTTTGTATTCTCTAAAAGGGGAAGTACTGGGGGGGGGTGGGTAGGGGTGGAACCAAGGGATGGTGCTCAGAGGAGGGTAAGGGGTGGAGACTCAGAAGGAGGAATTCTTGCACCTATTCTTTGAGAAGTAATTTGCCTGGAATTGATAAATAACAAGAAAAGCAGCAAAATAGAAAATTTGCAGCTAGATATACTAGATCCCCCAGCAACAATAGACCCCCCAGCAACAACAGACCCCCCCAGCAACAACATGTCCCCTCCCCCCCCACAAAAATATCCTGCCAGCAGCAATAGAGTAGCTCTCCCAGCAGCCAGCATCAATAGACCCCTCACTCTGCAGTAAACCCCTACCAGCAACAAGTTATCCTCTAGCAACACAATCCACACCCAGCAACAATAGATCCCCCCAAGCAACAATAGACTGATTCACTGATATATTGAATGCAGGGTCCGGGGAGAGCGGATATAGTGAATGCGGGGTCCGGGGAGAGCGGATATAGTGAATGCAGGGTCCGGGGAGAGCGGATATAGTGAATGCAGGGTCCGGGGAGAGCCGATATAGTGAATGCAGAGTCCAGGGAGAGCGGATATAGTGAATGCGGGGTCCGGAGAGAGCCGATATAGTGAATGCAGAGTCCAGGGAGAGCGGATATAGTGAATGCAGGGTCCGGAGAGAGCGGATATAGTGAATGCGGGGTCCAGGGAGAGAGGATATAGTGAATGCGGGGTCCGGGGAGAGCGGGTTTATAGTGAATGCGGGGTCCGGGGAGAGCGGATATAGTGAATGCGGGGTCCGGGGAGAGCGGATATAGTGAATGCGGGGTCCAGGGAGAGAGGATATAGTGAATGCGGGGTCCGGGGAGACCAGATATAGTGAATGCAGGGTCTGGGGGGGGAGAGCGGATATAGTGAATGCGGGGTCCGGGGGGAGAGCGGATATAGTGAATGCGGGGTCCGGGGAGAGCGGATATAGTGAATGCGGGGTCCGGGGAGAGCGGATATAGTGAATGCGGGGTCCGGGGAGAGCGGATATAGTGAATGCAGGGTCTGGGGAGAGCGGATATAGTGAATGCAGGGTCCGAGGACACCAGATATAGTGAATGCAGGGTCCGGGGAGAGCGGATATAGTGAATGCAGAGTCCGGGGAGAGCGGATATAGTGAATGCAGGGTCTGGGGAGAGCGGATATAGTGAATGCAGGGTCCGAGGACACCAGATATAGTGAATGCGGGGTCCGGAGAGAGCGGATATATAGTGAATGCAGGGTCCGGGAGAGAGAGCGGGATATAGTGAAGAGTCCAGGGAGAGCGGATATAGTGAATGCGGGGTCCGGGGAGAGCGGATATAGTGAATGCAGAGTCCAGGGAGAGCGGATATAGTGAATGCGGGGTCCGGAGAGAGCGGATATAGTGAATGCGGGGTCCGGGGGAGCGGATATAGTGAATGCGGGGTCCGGGGAGAGCGGGTGGTTTATAGTGAATGCGGGGTCCGGGGAGAGCGGGTTTATAGTGAATGCGGGGTCCGGGGAGAGCGGATATAGTGAATGTGGGGTCCAGGGAGAGAGGATATAGTGAATGCGTGGTCCGGGGAGACCAGATATAGTGAATGCAGGGTCCGGGGAGAGCGGGGATATAGTGAATGCGGGGTCCGGGGAGAGCGGATATAGTGAATGCGGGGTCCGGGGAGAGCGGATATAGTGAATGCCTGGGGAGAGGGATATAGTGAATGCGGGGTCCGGGGAGAGCGGATATAGTGAATGCGGGGTCTGGGGAGAGCGGATATAGTGAATGCAGGGTCCGAGGACACCAGATATAGTGAATGCAGGGTCCGGGGAGAGCGGATATAGTGAATGCGGGGTCCGGGGAGAGCGGATATAGTAAAATGCTGGGCCCGGGGAGAGCGGATATAGTGAATGCGGGGTCCAGGGAGAGCGGATATAGTGAATGCTGAGTCGGAGCGGGGGGAGAGCAGCAGATATAGTGAATGGGGGTCCAGGGGAGAGCAGATATAGTGAATGCAGGGTCCAGGGTTTAGTAACACTAAGTTTCGGCAATAAAACCTGGAAGCTGGTTGTTTTCTATGCAGGGGTAGATTTTGCATTCTCCAGCTTTAGTAAATAAACCCTCCAGTTTGATATGATCTGCACCCGTTCATTGCATGGCATGTTGGCTGATATCCGGATACAATAGAAGCATTAGAGCAATATTTTTTAATGTTGTTTTTTGTCTAAAATTTTTTTATACCATTATAGCACAACGATTTGTCAGAGCCATATTTTCAGTAAAAAAATACACTAAAGTAAATTTAATGCACAAAAACACAATATATTACCAAATTTGTTGTTTAAAATATATATAATAAGGTTGCTTTGAGCAAACAGAAAACACCTTTGTTAGGCCTTAAAATGTAGTGAGCCCGTGAAAGCGTAACAAAGTTCACTTATCAAAAATGATCTTTCCATTTCAGTTTAGAGTAAAAAATGTTGTTTATTTCATTTAAATACTAATTCTTACAGCATGGCAGCTGGAAATCATTCTGCAAATGTTTGGTGTCTCCAAAAATATGATTTATAGAACCTTTGTCTCCATTTATTTTCCAGGAGTCACTTTTCAGGTATAACTGGCAATAGGAGTTAACCAGTTCAGTTCTCACGTCTGTACGGCTCCTACGGGCTGAAGAAACGTTTACATCTCTGCAACTACTGATTTGGCAATAGCCTTAGCAATAAAGTCATTTTTTTTTAGGGCAAACAAGGCTTTCTGTTGGCAAAAAAATATTTTTTATGCAATCCATCAACAAAAATACCTAAAACACTTTGTTTCTAATCAGTGATGTTTTAAAAAAAAAAAGTTACTTTGTATCTCCCATCTGATCGATGTTTATAAACAATGTTACTTTGTATCTCCCATCTGATCGATGTTTATAAACAATGTTACTTTGTATCTCTCCATCTGATCGATGTTTATAAACAATGTTACTTTGTATCTCTCTCCCGTCTGATCGATGTTTATAAACAATGTTACTTTGTATCTCCATCCCGTCTGATCGATGTTTATAAACAATGTTACTTTGTATCTCTCTATCTCCCGTCTGATCGATGTTTATAAACAATGTTACTTTGTATCTCTCTATCTCCCGTCTGATCGATGTTAATAAACAATGTTACTTTGTATCTCTCTATCTCCCGTCTGATCGATGTTTATAAACAATGTTACTTTGTATCTCTCCATCTCCCGTCTGATCGATGTTTATAAACAATGTTACTTTGTATCTCTCCATCTCCCGTCTGATCGATGTTTATAAACAATGTTACTTTGTATCTCTCCATCTCCCGTCTGATCGATGTTTATAAACAATGTTACTTTGTATCTCTCCATCCCCCGTCTGATCGATGTTTATAAACAATGTTACTTTGTATCTCTCCATCTCCCGTCTGATCGATGTTTATACACAATGTTACTTTGTATCTCTCATCTCCCGTCTGATCGATGTTTATAAACAATGTTTACTTTGTATCTCTCCATCTCCCGTCTGATCGATGTTTATAAACAATGTTACTTTGTATCTCTCCATCTCCCGTCTGATCGATGTTTATAAACAACGTTACTTTGTATCTCTCTATCTCCCGTCTGATCGATGTTTATAAACAACGTTATTTGCATCTCTCTATCTCCCATCTGATCGATTTTATAAACAATGTTATTTGGTATCTCTCTACCGTCCCATCTGATTGATGTTTTATAAACATTGTTACTTTGTATCTGTCTCCCGTCCAGGGGCAGACAGACCATTTGGAAACTTGGGCACACAGGGAAGCCAGAGGTGCACTTTGCTGCACCCGTGGATCAGTTTGAAAGCAGCCTAATAGCCCTCTTATTGGTACAAACATATAGAAAGGTGCAGCGCTTATATGTTAAACCTGCAAGATATTAAAGTGCAAGAGTATATCACTGCAAAACGCAGGTCGGGTATAGTTGTTATAATGCCCCTTGTAGTCTCAATTTGCCACACAAATATATAGTTCACAATCTCCCAGTGAGTAGGGTGAGGTGAAGGATCAAATGGATCCCTGTTGACACACGGTGATAGCCAAAAAGGTGATGTATGGTGATATCCAAAATTGGTAAAAGATTGTGCACTCACCGGATGCACAACCAATATGCGCATGTAAGAGATAACCCCTCTCAAGGTATGATTCCAGGACTCATCAAAGGCAAGATCTGGTCAATCTCTGCGATGTAGACCCCCAGCTGTCATGCATGGCTCTGTCCCCTATTGCTCTTTGCTCTGCAGGTAGTTGGAAGCTCACCAGAGAGCCCCAGAGAGAAACAAGGAGGCCAGAATAGCGTGATACCGCTTAAACACATGCGTGCGTTTATTTCAGCAAAAAGGGTATAGTAAAACAATACAAAAGGGAGGAACTGCGGCACAGTGACGTTTACCACCGCCGGCACCATTGGGGTCCCGGCGGCCAACTTTCTTGTCTGGTCAGTATTGTTTTACTATACCCTTTTTGCTGAAATAAAACGCACGCATGTTTAAGCGGTATCACGCTATTCTGGCCTCCTTGTTTCTCTCTTACATGCGCATATTGGTTGTGCTTTAATATCTTGCATGTTCAACATATAAGCGCTGCACCTTTCTATATGTGAATTTTTGGAGGTTGTTTTTGGTACCTTTTGTGTTCAGCGGCTTCATTACCTTTAGCGCTCACTTATACCTATTTTTACAGTATAGGTACAAACATGCCTATCGCAACAGTGGGTGTGTATGGATGTTTAATACACTGAACATTTCCTCTTCCAGCTTCTTCTGGCATTGCTCTCCAGCCTGCTAGAATTGCTCTCCAGCCTGCTAGAAGAGTCCCAGTTGAAGTGCAATTGGTATCACTCCATCTGGGACAGGAGCTGGTGCTGCAGAGGAAGCATTGGCTTTTGGCTCCGCGGCCGCCTACTTCCCTCATTGCTCGGACCGGCTCTATGCACTCTGATGCTCTGGGATGACGATTCGGCAACCCATTGATCGTGATCTGGGCTTGCTGTTCTGCCATCCCCAGGCATGGGCTTCCCTTGTTTGGGGGCCACACGGGAGGGCTACTGTTTGAGAACCCCTGATCTAGATGAAATCCTTGCCACAAACTCTGCACTCCGTCTGCTGGCTGATAAAGCGTATTATTCAAGTGGAACACACTGCTCACTGATTCTAGACACCAATTTTATCACCTTGAACTGAGGAATTGGCAATTAAACCTCCCTGGAGGTATTCCCGACTGTAGCTCGAGGTAAAGTTTCAGCACCACAAGTGGTAACCCCCCCCCCTCCCCCCCCGAGCTACACTCGGGAATACACTGCAGCGTTGCTCAGGGATCTCTTCTGCACTCACCTTGCCCTGCGCTCCCGCGATGTCCCCTCCTGCAGTGTCCCTGGCAATGTAATCCGGCGGATGCCGGCATCTATCTTCCGGGTTCCGTTCCCTGCGATGTCGGGATGTATGGGGGGCAGAAAATGCAGGAAATTTAAAAATGGCAAAAAGTGACACACTAAAATCACTAAAATCACATAGTATTCCATTCCTGTATCCAATCATTTCACATACATTGTGTCCCGAGTGCTTTGTCCGGCGCCCTGCCTGCATTCTTACTGTTCTTTCTGCCTTGAAACTGAGAAACGTCCATGGCGTCCAAAAAGTGTCCCTTTAGGTCAGACGCGGTTTTAGACCGGCTAGAGAACAGCGATAGTAAATCAGAACCACTTGCAGAATTGAGTGATAATGATTGGTGGGGGAAATTCCTCATCAGACACTGAAACCGATTCTGCGACTTTGCTCAGCGATGTGCGAACTTGGCGCTCTATTTAAAATGTCAGTGTTTTTGGTTTGATTATATTATTGAAATACATTATTATATTATTATTTTTTATGATTATTTATTAAATTATAATTTATGATTTCGTGTTTCAAATTTTAACATACCCGGGATGTTTACTAGACTACTACAATAAAAAAACTACATGTTTCCATGCAAAACAATGTACCGCTTTGAGCACAGAAATACTGACATAATCAGACCACGAGGGAGGCTACAGCACAAAACACACGTTTTATTCTGTAAATTTGATCATACCTATCCTTTGGCTAACCACTTTGTCTAATCAAACTACCGACTTTTTTTTTTTGCATTGTCAATTTTTTTTTGCAATTTGTTCACCCACCTGAGAACCCCACAGAGCACCCAGGATGGGAATGCCTGAGGCATAGAGATCAACCACATTGACTCTGCATGGATACAGGTTTTCTCCACCCAAGCCCCAGGAAGGCTGCAGGTTGAAGCCTCATGAGATGTAAATCCATTTTGACCCTGTTCCTTTTTATTGTAGAAGCATTTTATCCTTGTTTCTGAAATCATCTACTACACTAGAAGGGCTCTTCCCCCTACCTCAGTTTTCTTTTTTGGTGGACAATCTGAGCTATACCAGAGACCATTGGTCAGCTCCTCAAGATCCTTTGGCCTGCAATCTACCACCACACCCTAGACCAGGTTCTTAACCAGGGTTATGTGAAATCCTAGGGCTCCTCCAAATTTCTAGGGGTTCCTTGAGCAATGAGAAACATCTGCCTCTTAGCTAAGTTCCCACTGACACCATTGGTCTCTTTAGCTATCTATAAGAGGGAATTATTTCTAATGGCTGC